AAAAGAAAGAAAGAAATTAGAAAGAATTCTCACTTGTACGGATTCACCCAAGAGCTTCCAAACACATTAAATGATTTGGCAAACGCATCATTGTAGAGAATTCCAGTGTAAATAGAAAATAAGCCCATCATCACAATAATATAACGTCCACCAAAGAAAGTATTAAAAATCTGAAAAAAGAGCTTATTATCATCTATTATTATCATCTGAATTAACAACGTATAGACTCCTGGATGGCAAGTTATCAATCAAAATGTTCACTTTGAACAGAAGCTGAAAACAATGCTAGTAAAGTTACTCGAAAGCATTTTCTACGTATCGAATCATAAAAAGAGCGAGAAAAGGTAAAGCTCGAGTATTTCTGACAGTGTGCTAAACAAAATGTAAGAAAAATATCGATCCTGGAGTTGATGACACAAGACATACCTCCCCTCGTATCCGTCGTGCAATGATCTTCTTTTCATTTAGGATGAAAAACATTCCTAGAAACGAAATCCATGAGTCAACATGCTGGATTATTGTATTCGATCAGGAACTATTAGAATATTCCACAATCCAAAGTACAAAAAGTTCACTACTGTACCTGCTAAAAACAAAATTAGCCCATGTGCGGCGTCAGCGAACATCACAGCGAACAAAAAAGGAAACGTGATTATAGTGTAGGGAGCTGAATGAAGGAAGATGTGTTATCCAAGTTAAAACGTTTGAAAACAGAGTTACTCACCTGGATTGACTTCTCGATAATTGGCGATACCATACGAGTCGACAATCGACTGGAAGACGGACGTAAACTTATTGGTTCGATGAAATGTCGGTGGAGATGTCTGTTTGTCCATTTCGTTCAGTATAGGAGATACATCACAGCCACTAGCCTTCTGAATACGTTCTTTCGGTAAATACCTTTTATGGCTGAAGATTCTTCAAATAAGACTACGAATTGAACATAGTGAAGTACGCACAAAAACTGACAGAAATGGTAATTAGTAAATAGCTGCGGTAGAGCAAAAAGGGTAAAGTTCTGATTTCTTATACGCAACGCGCATGAATGGTAAAAAAATTACTTTATGGGGTTTCGAAGAAAGAAGTACGTTTGTAGATAGGATAGGTGATTTCTTGTCTTTGCTTCTCCCGCTCACGCGGAGTCTGCTACATAAGCCAAATCTCCGTAATTCTCGGAATAGCGTTCATCTAAGCTTCCTTACTCTCCAGTCGGCTTTCATTCTGTATAAATCATTTTTGGCCTTCCTCGCGGTCTTTTTCCGGCCACCTGTAGAGACGTTGCATTCTTGTGATTTGGGTCTCATTTCTTTTAATCCCATGCCCGTATCATCGCAGCCTCTTTTCTGCATCTTTTTGGCGATGGGATTAACCTTTATTCTAGCTGAGATCATGTCATTGATGATCTAACAGGGTGATAGGGTGATACCCAATGTCCACAGCAGCCTCCTTTTCTCCATGACGCTGAGCTTGGTTCTTCAATTCGCGCGCTTGGTCCACATTCATTGTTATACAGCGATGCTGAATGGATTACAACACAATATTTGGGATATGAGACGCGCTAGCAATTGCTTATCACATACAACTCCTGTGACGGTTCTCCGCTTCATCCATGCTGCACTTGTCATGGCTTATAGCTCGTAATCATATCCCCCCAGGCAGAGATGCAACTTCCTAAGTACCTATGGAATTCGTTTTCAATAATGACTTACCGTCAAGTATATGGTTCCCGAGGTTTGACTCCCATTTCCACACATTTTGCTGTTTAGCTTTGGCAATATTTGGTTCTTCCATCTCTGTATCTTTTTTAAAGTTCTGTTCTGCTTTCCACCATCAGTACAACATTTACATATAGCGAAATATTGAGACCTTCTGTTACCGTCCACAACTGTGATAAAAAAGAAGCAGGGACCAGTTTCTGATTTACCCACTATGCGAATTTTCTTACATGGCTCATAGTTCTGTGTTAAAATCTTCCCATTAAGTGAAAAGATTGTAACACAGAGCTATGCCATGTAAAATATTCTATTCCTCTGCAACATGTGCTTTCGCTGTGCCCGTCATATAACGTCATTAACACCTTGTCAAAGGCTTTTCGCACATCAAGAAAAGCCTTGTGTGACTCTATTTTTTCCCTATGTCTCTCCAGCACTATCTGCACACTGTAAATATTGTCAACAGTATCGTTTACAAAA